ACTCTGCATTTTATTAGGAGGATTGTGCCAATATGCAGCTCGCTGCGTGAATGCATGTTGATCCGCCTCTGAGCCGGGAACGTTAAAGTACTCTGTTCCCTTGAAGATGTCTGGAGAAAAGCCACAGCTTGCATGCTAGTGTTTCTGCGTTTTATTGTGGGATTTCGGTATGAAAGCGGTTGTCTTTCGGATTATGCTCGCTCATGAGTTCAAGCGAGCAAGGGTACGAGCGCACACCTGGTTGCAATCTTAGAACCGCACCACTAGTGGCTGCTGAAAACTACATAATGCCCCTTTAAGAAAATATAACATGCTCACAATGCTGTGTGGACAGGTTTAAACAGTGGATAGTTGGGAATTTTTGACAGCTATCATACCAAGAGTAAACATCTGGATTCAAGGCTGATTCCTGTTAATGAAAAAATGCTTCGATTGGTCCTGATCTCAATTATATGTATGGGTTGGTTCAAGGTATCCTTGCTTTGCTTTCTTTTGAGGGTGTTTATCATTAAAGGCTTTCTTTTGTGAAATCTAGGCCTCACATACAGTAGCTTATTATCCATTACCCTGTTATGTGTCGTTGCGGTGTGGAACATATAATTATGTTTACATGGAACATGAATTCATAGCCTTCATGGTTCCTACACAGTGGTGTGAGCAAGTACACCAGCAGGTCACAAAATAAGATGCTGCCAGTAGACTCTCAGCATTAGGTGAGTGCAGTGTGAGCAGTAATTAACAACAATGTTAAGCAAGCCAAAGCTTAAGCTGCACTGACATTTCACTTAAGTAAGGACTACACACACAACCAAACTCTCAGCACTGATTCAACCTGAAACCAAAACCTCTGGTTCCCTTTACAAAATCAGTCTTGTTAGTACTGTTATTTTTGAGGTAGCTGTGTTCTATGCAAAATTATTAGCTTCACAAAGCCTAAAACAGAATAAATTTTTCCAATTAATAATAAGAACTAATAAAGATTTTCTCTGTTTGCATTTCCAGAATTGAAATGTCCAACTCCCACCAGGAGGAAACGATCTAACACTATCATGGAGGTCAGAACTACATTAGGTAAGAATTACAAATTTAAATGTTATAATGTTATAACCACTAGCGGTTGTGTTTATAGTCATATTTTATGAATGAATAAAAATAATATTTCCCTCATTAAAACATAAATAAAAATAACGTTATTTGTATTGCACTTTTCTAAAAACACTATTTACAGGGCCTTTAAATATAGTGATTCTATTAAGAACAGATCAAAACTTTAGAATGGATTTAAAAGATAAAACAGATTTCCTCAGGCAGGCCATTCCAAATTACAGGCACCTTAATAGAGAATTCACATTCACCTATAGTGTAGAGCCTGGACTGTGGAAAAACCAAAATGCCCTGGCCTGTGGAACTCAGGATGCATTCCAGCTCATGAAGAGTTAAAAGTTCAGCAATATAATTAGGGGTAGACTTTTCTGCTAAGTAATCAGTAGGATCTTGAAAACAATCCTAAATCTTACTGGCTGGCTATGTTTAGTGCCAGTGTAAAATCTAGCTACAGCATTCTGAATAAGCTGGAGAATTGAGACTGATTTTTAACTGAGCTTGATTTTTGATGTTTCTGAGTTGAAGGAAGCAGGATTGCATAATTCTCTTTACATGCTCATCTAAAGTCAGATAACTGTCAAAAGCACACCTAGGTTCGTGGCTACAGGCTTTATATCAAATGAATAAGTCCCCTACATAATGTACAAAAAGATGTTTTGTGTTGGGCTTCCCAAATAAGAATATTTAAGTTGTGCTTATAATTCAACTAAGGAAGGCTTTTGGACATCCCACATTTATGTCCATGAGACAGTTTCTGAGAGTATTGACGCAGTTGGGATCATTATATCTTAAGGTTTGATGTAACTGTGTGTGTGTGTGTTTGCAGCATAGCTGTGAAAAGAAACATAATGCTTACAAATTACATCGATCAGCCATAACATTATGAACACTGACAGTTGAAGTGAAAAACATTGATTACCGTGGCGCCTGTCAGTGGGTGGGGTGCATTAGGCAGCAAGTGAACATTTTGTTAGAAGCAAGAAAAATGGGCAAGCATAAGGATTTGAGCGACTTTGACGAGTGCCAAATTGTGATTTTTGTGGAAAAAGTCAGAATCAGCTTTATTGCTAGGTATGTGTACATATACGAGGAATTTGACTCTGGATTGTACATTGCTCACTCATACAAAAATACAAAACTTCAGTATATACAATACAAACATACACGCTATGAACAAAAACAATATAGACATATTGACAAATAGTGCAGTGATCAGAGTACAAAGGATGCAGGTGTATGTACATGTCGGAGGTGTATGTGATATACAGGTATATATACATGCATACATGTACACATGTACACAGTACAATGAAGCGCAGTGCAAAGGATGCTGGAATAAATAAGTATAAGTGTTTTGTGCAGGAGTTATGACTTGAGGTAGGTGGATTTGGTATACAGTATCTACAATATGACAATAAAACGGTATGAACAGCACTGAAATACAGAATGGTGAATAAATAAGTGTTAGCCAGTAAACAGGTGGCTGATTAGAGACAGAGTTTACTGGGTTATTGAACAAGAATTGTTCCTGACACTGTGAGTCAGAAATCAGCTGTTCATCAGAGTGATGGCTTGTGGGAAGATACTGTTCCTAAGTCTGTTGGTTTTGGCATACAGTGCTCTGTAGCGCCTACCAGAGGTGAGATGGGGTGAGATGGATCTGCAGTGATGCTTCCTGCCCGTTTCCTGACTCTGGAAATGTATAAGTCCTGAATGGAGGGCAGGTTGGCACCGATTATCTTTTCTGCAGTCCTGACTGTCCGTTGTAGTCTGCTCCTCTCCTTTTTGGTGGCAGATCCAAAACAGACAGTGATGGACGTGCAGAGAACAGACTGGATGATGGCTGTGTAAAAGTGGATCAGCAGCTACTTAGGCAGGTTGAGCTTCCTGAGCTGGCGCAAGAAGTACATCCTCTGCTAGGCCTTCTTGATGATGGTGTCCGTGTTGGGCTCCCACTTCAGGTCCTGGGATATAGTGGAACCCAGAAACCTGAAGGATTCCACAGCAGACACAGGACCGTTGAGTATGGTGACAGGGGACAGAGTGGGGGGGCTCCTCCTGAAGTCCACGGTCATCTCCACAGTTTTGAGCGTGTTAAGCTCCAGGTTGTTCTGACCGCACCAGAGAGCCAGCTGATCAACTGACTCATCACCGTCCCGGATGAGGCCGATGACCATTCAGGAGTTTGACAGATGGGTCTCCTGAGGTGCAGTTGTTGGTGTAGAGGGAGAAGAGCAATGGGGAGAGCACGCACCCTGGTGGGCGCCAGTGCTAATAGTCCGGGTGCTGGATGTGATGTTCCCCAGCCTCACTTGCTGACTGTCAGGAAGTTTGTGATCCACTGACAGGTGGAGGCTGGCACAGTGAGCTGGGTGAGTCTGGTGCTGAGGATGTCCGGGATGATGGTGTTGAACGCTGAGCTGAAGTCCACAAACAGGATCCTAGCATATGTCCCTGGAGAGTCGAGGTGTTGCAGGATGTGATGCAGACCCAAGTTGACAGCATCTTCCACTGACCTCTTAGCCCTGTAGGCAAACTGCAGGGGTCCAGCAAGGGCCCTTTAATGTGCTTCAGGTGGGCCAACACCAGTCTTTCAAAGGACTTCATGACTACTGTTGTCAGGGCGACGGGCCTGTAGTCATTTAGTCCAGAGATGGAGGGTTATTTGGGGACCGTGATGACCGTGGGGCGTTTGAAGCAGGAGGGAACTACACACAGCTCCAGTGATCTGTTCTGAGTGAAGATGGGGGCCAGCTGGTCTGCACAGATTTTCAGGCAGGATGGAGACACACCGTCGGGGCCAGGAGCCTTCCTGATCTTCTGCCTTTGCAAGAGATGGCTCACTTCCTCTTCACAGATCTTCAGTGCAGGTGAGTGGTCAGAGAGGGGGGGTGGCAGTGTGTCAGAGGGGGACGTGCCTGTTTGAAGAAGGTGTTGGAGCCAGGGAGAGGTGTGACTGTGGGCTTTTCAAACCTACAATAAAAGCCATTCAGCTCGTCTGCCAGTTGTTGAGTACCAGCAGTGTTGGGGGATGGTCTCTTGTTGTTGGTGAGTGTCTCTCCACACTGACGCAGGGTCGTTGGCTGCAAAGCTGTTATTTAGTTTTTCAGCGTAGCATCTCTTTGCTGCTTTGACCTCCTTAGTCAGAGTGTTCCTGAGTTTTTGCTGTGAACCAGGGTTTTAGTCGGCACACACATGTCCTCACAAAAACTGATGTAAGATGTCACAGTGTCAGTTAGTTCGTCCAGGTCAGTGGCTGCAGCCTCAAAAACACTCCAGTTAGTGCAGTCAAAGCAGGCCTGTAACTCCAGCTTTGACTCGTTGGTCCATCTTTTCATAGTCTTTACAACAGGTTTAGGAGATTTCAGTTTTTGCCTGTATGTTGGGAGAAGATGCACCAGACAGTAATCAGAGAGTCCCAAGGCTGCACGGGGAACAGAGCGATAGGCGTCCTTTAATGTTGTGTAGCAGTGGTCCAGTGTATTAGTGTCCCTGGTGGGACACTTAATATGCTGTCTGTACTTTGGGAGTTTGTCACTGCTGGTTCTGATAGAAAGGTGTCAGAACACACAGTGAATACACAGTTGAGTCCATGCCTCAACGGGTCAGGGCTGTTTTAGCGGCAAATGGGAGTCCTACATTATGACCGACAGTTGGCCATAAAGTTATGGCAAAATGGCGTATATGGCCTAATGCAAGCATGTAGAGCAGGGGCTCTTAACCTTTCTGGCATTCTGAACCCTTTTTGAGGTTGAAAATATTTTGCTACATCTGCATTCTCTTAGCAAAGACCAAGTTGTGTCATTGAGCCACGGAAGAGTTTGAGGTTGGGTTAAAATGAGTTACTATCTCGTCAGTGCCCCTATTATGACAGACACTGTAAATCACAGTGGGTGGCAAGGAAAGCCTCAGAGAATTTGGTTGCAGAGGTTACATTAAATATGCGAGAACTGAGTGAAGAGGACGGCTTTGAAATATATGTTGCAAGCCAATTGAGAGTACAAATTCAAGAGGTTTCGCCCTTTACATGAGTAGACTTATTAACACATTAAGTTAGGTTAAAAGACTCAGTGAGCTGCATTGCCAGGAATCTGGCTTGGACACAAGAGTAGATCTGAGACATTGCTGGTGAGTTAAAGGGATTTATTAACAAACAACAGAAAGAATAATGCAGGGATGGAGACAGGTTGGCAAGTGATGTGGAGTTTGGGTTTGTACTCCAAAATTTAGGCGAATAGTTGGGCTTATCTGGCTGTAGCTGTCCGTAGGATGTGTGCAATGTCACTTATCCATGAATGACTGAGCTTCATCCAAAGAGAAAAATAAACACACAAGAATATAGGTGTTAAAATCACAATGTTAAAATTACAATTTGGTAGTATTAAGGTACAATGAAAGACCTGAGAATTCCTGGATGCCATCTTGGTTCAGTTTAGCGGATCTGTAGACTAGGACACAAAAGCAAAGGAGCCTTACAGTATACCAGAAAACTCACTGCTTCAAAGGTGTTTAAAGTGTGGCTTCAATCAATAAAGTGCAATCACTTACATTCAACCAAGTTTCAGTAATAAATTAGTTACTAAAAGATTGGTGGGAGTGTACGACTTATATTGCTGTTAGCTGAAACTGATTTTACCTGGTAATTTACCTGGTAACAGGAACTTGATGGGGAGGAACTATGGGACTGTTTTTTGATAGGCCAAGCACTGTGTAGAGTTAAGGTTACTTGGCCCCTGATTGTGTAAGATTAAACAAAATGTGTTACCAGCCAACATTTGTGAGACATGGTGGTCCACCATCCCTTTTAAATTAAGCAATCATTAAAAACTGGGGCTGCACAATTAATCTAAACACAATCATGTGTCAAGTGCGATTACATAACCTCAAAAAGGGTGCGATTTAATAAAGCAGAAAAAATGTGTGTGCCTCTTTTCTGCCTGTGCTGCAGTCTACTCATTATCTCCGCTCACACCGGGCTCTCGCATGTGCTTCTAAAAACAGATACATGTAATCAGAAAAATTATTTATGAGCAGTGTGCGAGTAACGTTTAAGACAACAACCTACCATAACCCCCTCCCCGCCCTGCTGCTAATCGTTCAAAACATAGTCGGACTTGTCACCGGAGCACAGAGAGAAATGCCCGTGGGCCGGTTGCTCAGCGTCGTTGGTAGCTGAAGTGGTCAGACAGAAGAAAACAGGGAGAAGATAAGGAAGGTTTGTGTTTGGCTTGCAGGACATTTAACGTTAGCTGTACTGGTGCCTTTTGTTGTTCAACATGTTCAACTTTCCATAAAGCCAACATGCTTGTCAGTGTCATTTTTCATCAACCGACCAATCACAGCCCGGATGGGGTGGGACATTAAAAAAGTTTGATGTGCTACACCAAATCTTTAAATGTTGAACAATATCATTATTACAAATTAGTACTTAGCATTAACAAATTAGAGACCAATGTAGAGCCTTTTGCTTGCACAGGGATTTAATGAATAAAAATGAGCCACAGAAATTAAACTGTTGTAACTGTATTTATTATTCAACTAGTGGTAAAATAGTATACTGTTATATGAAATTACAATAATGTAGTGATATTCTATTAACTGAACATTATAATTTATTTACTTTATTTAATGTTATAACATTATACTAATACACTCAGGTATACTAGCTCCTCCTTCAGGTTATGGATAGTGTCTCTGCAGTGGACAGATGTAGATTTAGCCAGGATGCCAGTGTGCCAATATTTGCTCCTTCTAACCGCCTCCTCTGTAGAGCAACACAATTGGAATTTCCTTAATGAATGATAAAGTGCCAATAGACTATTATATTCTATTTTTGAACATATTTATTCAGCTGTAACAGGGTGAAATGAAGGTGGCAATAACTGAAGATGATAATATGTATTAAACAGAAAATACACAGTTTACTCATGGACCTATGATTGTAAAGTCCAGTCTTTAGAGATACGTGGTTCTAACCAGATAGCAATACTACAAACATCTGATGATCTTATAAAATGTGAACCTTTTACTGGACAGTAAGTGCTTTTACTTTTCATGCATTAAGGAAATGTTACGAATAATACTTTTTCTTAAATAAGGTTTTGAATGAAGGACTTTTTACTTGTCCTGGAGTATTTTTACAATTTCATATTAGTACTTTTACTTAAGTAAAGAAACTTAAGTACTACTTCCTCCACAATTCCCTAAAGAAATCGTCGACCACAACGCATTGATTAGAGGGAGAAAAACGACTTTGCACTGGGTCTCTGATTATACAGACTTCTTGCTGTCACGCCAATGTATTTATATTTTTGACCCTGTATGTATAATTTTTGATCTATTTTGATTAAAGAAATACCCAAATGATTTTTAAAAAATTAAATATGTATGTTGTACAATCATTTTGCCCCAGAAAAAAGAACAGGTCAAAGAAATCATTGAAAGTCCAATCTTGCCATGATATTCATTTCCACGATGAGTACAATATATTTAAACTGACCGCATCTGTATGTTTTCTCGGTTTTGGTGGGTGTGTCAGAGGTGTTACCCAATCAGCAGCTACGTGTACATAAAAATGCAGTGAAGTGCAGTACCAAAGGCCGGTTCAGTTTAAATAAACGTTTTGCTACATTTGCCAGCCGTGAACTTGGCCCTGGTGTTCCCCAGAAAGTCTGCCAATAATCTTCATAATTGTTTTCACCTGCAACTTCTCCCTCTGCAACCCAATTTAACTGGCACCACCCTGAAGAGACATGCCTTACAGTTTGAAAACCTCTGCTTTGGATAGCCCAGAAAAACCATTGGTGTTAAACAGATCAATATTCAGAATGCCACACATAAAAATAATATTCCATTTATATTCTTTTAAATACAAAAATGCTTTTGTATTTCTCCAAAATGTTTTAATTACGTTTTAAATCTCACCTCTCCCCTTTCAAGTGAGTCAATATAAAGAAAAAAAAACAACGTGACTGCTGTTTGGATGGCATGAAGGACACCCCCCTGTCATATAATTGTGAGAGGCGCAGCGAGTACATCATTGACGGTCCAGCGTGTGTTGAAGCCTTTCTGCACTGCTGCAAGGAGATGGAAAGTCAGCGAGCTGAGAGGAAGCATGACAGCCTCCTACTGGCACGCAGTAAGATGGGGACAAGGGATGGAGGGAAAGGCAGCATTGGTTACTTTTATTAGTCACACTGGTAAATTGGGAAGTTGCCACCCAGTGAAAAATACTTACTAATTTTTTTTTTTTTTTTACAAATGACACTTAGGTGAGGATGTTACGAGTTACATGGACAGCAATGAATTTAATTCTCGCACAAACTTTCCTGAAAGTTGGCAGTGGACACATATCAAACTGCCTGCTTGCCCTCAACAAACACCAAACTGGTGAGTCAACTAAAACACAAAAAATACAGAGATAAATGAAGTGATTCCTGAGAACTAGTTTAGTCAGCCAAATTCAGTCTGCCTTTATACCCACATGGTGTACTCCTCTCACTAAAGCATATATCTAGCGTACCCTTTAAATCATGGTGAGGTACTTGAGACATTTTTCTGCCGTGCCTTCTGCAACACAGATCACCTGAAACTATGCTGATGACTGTTGTTTATATACTGTAGCATCCAACATTCACAAAAGTTTCCATGTGAGTTGGTTGACTAAACTTCATTCATGACACCACTAAAATCTTAAAATGAAAGACTGCTCTTGTGTATTTCAGTGACACCACATCAAATGAGACAACATTCCCTTTGAGAGACTCAATCACAACCTGGCTGTTCACTGGCATCAGTCTTTCAAGAACTCACGGTGAGGACACCCACAGATGCTAATCTCTAATCTCTTATCATGATCCATACTTTTCTTTTGCTCTTGTTTGATTGTCCATTCATCTTTAAGGTATCTGTGTTGGCGAACCATTAGAGGTAATTGTGCGAAAGGACTTCTTTATTGATCTCAGGATGCCTTACTCTGCTGTCCGTGGAGAGCAGTTGGAAATTAAGGCAATACTCCACAACTACAGTCCAGATCCTATCTACGTAAGTCTGAGCTATTCTTTTCATATGTTTCAGGACAGAACACTTTCAACATAGCCAGGGGCATGTCTGGGGGGTGGCATTGGGTGGCATGTGGCACCTGTGAAATCTGATAGGCCACAGCAGGGGCTCTCCGTGCCTCTCAAGTGTCTAATGACCCCTCTCATATTTGTAAAATTTTCCAGAAAAGATTATCAAAATCATATTTTAAATGTGTCATTGTGCGCTGTCACTAAGAGGATCATGTTTTCATATGTATGAAAGGGGCTGTCACCTGTTACAGTTAAAGTAGATATAAGCAGTGGAGACTGAAATATTAACGGAATTCTATTTTGACATGTGATTTATCAAAGGTCACTCAGATACATATTTTGAATACTTCGTCGAGAGGGAGTGTGTGTATACAAGAGAGGTATTCAAGGCTTGGATGCCTATAACTATTTTCATTCCGGGAAAGTTAAAAGCATCCTAACTTACACGAAAGGAAATTTGTCATTTACGTGGAAATCGAAGCAGGTCACTCTACTCCGCCTGGATCTTTGCGACAAAGTCTGGTGAAGTCCAGAGCAGGTGTGTAGTCATGTGGGAACGATTTTGGTTACTGTGGAGCAGTGTGTCCAGGATGGACCGATCACGTCACGGTTGACTAATCAGACAGAATGCGCTAAACTTAATCTTGTAGGCGTTTTACTAGAGATCCCAGTTTCTTCTCCAGTAAAGCCAGTTTCCCCTTCAATTCAATGTTTTCATTGTGTAGCACGTCAGCCATTGACAGATTTGTACCCACAACAGTGTATCCTTCTTGAGGGTCAGCATGGGTGACCTCTATGGAAGGTGAATCGATGGACTCAACCAGAGAAGGACGATACTGTCTCCTCTGGTAACGCTCCAACTTCTGGGAACCATCAGTGGTGTTTTTGTGTGCGAATATTGATTGAACATAATCTGGGTGGCATGAGTCCACTGATAGCACACCTAAAATTAAACAAAAGACAGAAACAGTTCATCCATATCTATTGTGGTTACATGTACATTCCTCTGTAAAAAGTGCGTACTTTTATGATATTGCTTAAAAACCACGATTATATGAGACATAAACTGGGGCTTGTGGGCAGCATAGCCTGCTGGCTGGGATGGGCGGTATACTGATACATGTATTAAAATCGTTTTAATTTGATGGCACTCATAAAATGGTTTGTTACTTGTATGAAAATAGTATTGTGGTCAGTATTTTTGTATTTTAAAAATACAGAAAACACTTCCCCCAAGAACGCTCAGCATAGCAAGTAAAGTGATATGTATTGTGGTTGCTGTATTTAGTATGTATTTAGATACTGTTACATCCTGAGTATTTTGTGTCTTTTACGTTGTTCATCTTGCTAAGTTACAACAGAAAATACTCAGGCAATGTAACGCTGTCACATCAGTTTGAAACCGGAATCACAATGATTCAAGTGTAGTTAAAGTGTAGGCTATATTTTACTTTATACAATGCTACTATCAATTTAATTAGCAAATGTACTGTATAACTATTACAGGCTTGTTACTTATTATGAGTTTGTTACTTGAAATGAAGTGAGTGCTACAGAGCCTTGAATTCTTGCCTGGCTGCCAAGCCTCTCCACACAGTGGTGATTCAGGCTCACCGTCTCCCCTCTTCTTTAGGAAACCGTAACATTTTTAAATAAAATGTATAGGAGTACATATAATATATGAGTACGTATAGTACACTCATCTTAATTACATTTAATCAGGCACCGCCATTGCCCAAGTGTATCTGCTGCAGGTTTATCAAGTGTAACTAATATCAAAATCAATATTTTTCCATTTTGGTTTTAAAACAGAGAAACAAAAACCGATGTCTGTTTTTTTGTTTCTGTTTATTTGTTTTGGTTTTAAAACAGACAAACCAAAAAACAACTCTTTTTTTTGATTCAGTTTTGAAACTAAGTAATCAAAGAACGCTTTTGTTAAGTATTTAGCACCGCTGCTCCACCTTCAACTCTATGCCTTTAAACACTGTGTCCGCCCCTCAGTCCATGTGAAGCCACTTATTTGAGTTTCCTCGTCTTTTCTCTCCTGAACACAGTCACTCTGTTACAGTAACGTTAACTTACCTAGCCAAATCTAACAGTGCTTGTTTGGCAAGTTTAACGAACATTGCATAACATCAGCTAACTGACGAGATGGACCATTACTTTCCAGCTTGTAACAGACGCCTTTTGTTTCCAAGTATATAATCCTAAATTACTCTACTTCTCTAATATGTTTTGACTTCTGTTCATGTAAAACCTTAGCATACACTCATTTTATCTTAGTATTGTTAGCACAGCTTGGCATTGCTTAAAGCTTGCTGATTAGCTAGTTAAATAGCTAAGCTAACATCTTGACCATTACCTTTCTTTGTTGGTTTCTCTTTTTCAAGGTGCGTGTGGATCTGATTGAGAATCAGGCTGTGTGCAGTTCAGCTTCTAGGCGTGGGAGGTATCGTCAGGACAACGTTGAAATTGGGAGCCAAACCACACGGTCTATACCCTATGTCATTATTCCCATGAAGTTAGGACAACTCCACATTGAAGTCAAAGCAGCTGTTAAAAACAAATTGTTCACTGATGGAATCAGGAAGAATCTGCTGGTGGTGGTAAGAGAAACAGAATCGTACAGTCAGCTTGGAGCTTGGTATGCCATATTAAAGCTGTCTCCTGTTGTGGTGCAAATATTAAAGCTGTAACTATGTTGTAAAATATTTGCTTGAAAATAGTAGTGATTCCAGATAGGTGTAATTGTTGTTTTCCAGCCTGAAGGAATACTGACAAAATCTCTGAAGACTATAACCCTTGACCCTGCAAAGAAAGGCATAGGTGAGTTCAGCAGTTTAGGAACTGCAGTAAACACAGAAAATTTGCCTGTTTTTTCATTTGCTAATACTCTAACTTGAAAACTCTTTCTAACTTTAGATGGCAAACAAGAGGAAATAATTAACAGTGAAATTCCTCAAAAAGATTTGGTTCCAAACACACCTACTAGCACAGAGATCTCCGTGACAGGTGAGATTACTTTTTTTCCAGCTGTTATCTGATACACGTGCCTGAACAATGAACTCTGTATTATTAATTGTGGCAAAGGACCAGTTTTTCCTGATTAAAAATGACCTGTTTT